CTCATAAAATTCAGTGCTTTGCTCTTGAAAACACTCTCAAAAAAGAAATTATTATCGAAGAAGGATATTAATAAAAATACTTTCCATTTTAAAACCGAATACTTTTGAAAGTGTGTTCTAATGGAAATTATTTATATAGGCAATTAACATAATTAAATAGACTATTTTTAATTATTGTACAAAATAGAATATTTTGTAGAAATATGGCGCATATTGCGAATTTGGTATTCAAACTTATCATTCAGGTCACTTGACGCGTGATATCATCGTTTTAGGATTGCCATTCCTTCATAACTATTGTGTTACAATAGACAAAAGCAATAAAGTTCACTTTGCATCTATTAAGTATTAATATCTTTTGTATGTATTCAGCTTTATTCAGCTCGAAAAATGTGATTATTTAAGATCAAGTGATTAAATTCCATTTAGATTTTTCGAAAATATGTATAATAAGCATAAAAATGAATGTAGACAATATTTAAAAGCACAATAAGAAATGGAAAATGCATTTTAAAAATTAGAAACCGTTAAAAAGTATAAGTAAGAAGAAGTTATTGTCAAGAATATTGCCAAAAAATGTACAATTTTTTCTTACAAGTTTCATATTTATGTATAAAGCAAATTTTTCTCAAAACACAATCTGTGTAAAAGTTATGATCACATATCACGTATGACTTTTGAACCCGTGATTCATACACAGAAATAATAAAATAATCTATATAAAGACGTTTCTGCCGATAAATCTTTCAAGCTCGTTCATTTTTCGGAATTTTAAATTCATATTACAGTCCTGAAATGTCTGATAATTCATGTGGCATTACGAGTCATTTGATTCAGCGATATCATAATCTGGTTCCGGATATGGTGATGAATCGGAGGATTTTTGCGAATCTTTATCCTCCGGAGACTACAAAAATCATTCTTTAAAAAAAATTTAAAAATTTTTAATCTAAAAAATAGGAAAAAAAATGTAATGTTACCTTTTTGAATATAACATTACTTATGTTGTTTTATAAATTTAATAATTAGAAACAGTATAATATGTAGTAATTCATGAGACAAACAGTTAATAAATACGTTTCTGTAGCTAATTTCGAAGTAAAATTATGTGAGGATAATTTCTTTAAATAAACGCGTACCTTTTTGCCTGATACGGGTTTCACGTTTATCGTATTTTCTGTCTCATCTGAAACCACTTTTTGAGTGTTTGCTGATTGTTTTTCAGCACTATTATCCATAAACAATTCTTGAGATAGTACTGGTCTTCGAGGTCCTATTGGTTTCATTTCTACACCATAATTTTCACCATCACGACGAATAGTATAAAAAATTTTTATATCAGTTTCATGATTTTTAAATAGCGTATTTAATGAATAATATAAAGCTTCCTTCATTAAAAATGATAATTGAGAACCGAAAGTTTATTGCTAGCAATTTGCTAGTTTACTTTTTCATTTTCATATCACACTTTTTGAAAATTATAGAACCAACTGTTTTAAAAAAAGTCTGATATAAAGTATTAAAAAAATTACCGATTAATTAATTAACAATTATTAATGAATAATAAAGTGTTAAAAAATAATTAATAATCAAAACGAACAGGAATTAAAAATTGATGTACTAATAATAATAATTGTTAATTAATTCATCGGTAATTTTATTACTAATAATTGTTACGAAAGTCACAGTGTGATTAAATAAAATCTAAATATTCTCATTTTTCAGAGTTGAAAAAGTAATTTTGTGGAGATTAACGTGAAATAAAAACCTTATAGAATCCTAGTCGACCTCTCGTTGGAATAAATTGTAATCCAGAAATCTGCGGTCTAGGAATTTGTATTGGTTCCAAGTTGCACAGTGAATCGCGCACCGCTGTCATTTCCTTGTTTGCACGAGTCCTATATGATGACTACACATTTTTTAGCATTATAAATTATTTGATACTGTTTTTGTAAATCTATTGTTTTTGTGCAGTTTAATTATTGCAGCTGTTTGCTTGTTGAAATTGCTTCTATTGCGATAAAAGTTAATTATTTAAGCTATTGAACTTTCAAAAGTAAATATATTTTGTAGCCATAAATATCCAAACAGAGAGATACACATTGCTATTTTTAAACGCCATTTATGAAATTCTGAAACTTTTTAATTTAATTTATATTTTATTACCTTAATAAACTTAGTCAAGTTATGAGCTGAAAACTCCACATTAAAAATGTGCAATCAGTTTACAGAATAGTTCTTGATTCAATTGAACTGAATCACATCAAAGTTAAGGAGGTTATTTGATCTCCCTTAACACTGACTGATAAGATACTAACGTAGAAGATATACTATCATTTTTACACGCATACTATCTTTTCTGAACGTTTATTATTTAGATCTGCCATAATGCCATCTAATGTTCTTAAGAAACAGGCTTACATTTAATTTTATTACTAATTTTTAAAAATAAAATTAAAGCTTTAAGAAATACTGTGAATAAATTTCTGCTATTTCAGAAGCTTTAAATGAAAATTTCTGTTCAATTTTCTGCTGATTTATGCTTAATTACTACAAGCCTTTCAGATTTTGATGAGATTATTTTGAATATTTGCTAAATTTGAATATTTTTAAATCAGTGATTGTTTTTTCAGAGTGACAAGCTAAAATATTAATATTCGTTATAAAACTTTTTGTTTGTGTCTAACTTTAAAATAGTTAGCAGCCAAAATTTTCGGTCATATAATTGCTTAAAAAATTTAATTTCTTGTGTAGAAGTAAATTTTAAATTTGAAATAAACTATGCAACAAAAAAGCACTTAAAAAAATACATCAAAAATTCAAAGCAAATCTCAGATTAAAATATTTAAAATAATTATGGATAAATAATTAAGTTAGTAGGTGCTTGCTTAGGTTTAAGTTTAAGTTAAATTCCGAGTGTTCCGCTGAAATCAAAGTTTTGTTACTGAAAGCAAAAATTGAATTTTGAAAACTTGTACTTGAAAAATAAGTGTCATCAGAAAAATAATGCTATTCAATATTATAAAATCAACATATTTTTGTTTTTATTGTTGAGGTAACAATCCAAAAAATTAAAGTATTAGAAGATATTATTGCAAAACTTTATTTCACATTCCAAAGTTTACTAATCAAATTAGTCACAAATCACGATAATTAGTGCAAAAAAATCTAAAATTATAATACTAAAATAATTTTCAATAAAAATCAAATAATAATTCGTG